GCTCATCAATTTGGTTTGTAGCTGCAAGGCACAAACCCACAGTATGATGCTTAACATGAACTCATCAATCAAGATAATAAATAGCAAAACGGGGGGAGATCTTTTTTGCATACTACATTACACTGAGAGGGTAGATGCATCATGTGAGAAAACCAACAAGAGGAGGAGACCATGTAGCTAGGGGAGGAGCCTGGTCTCAAGCTGAATTGTATGGACCATTTCATTTCTTGTTGAGGTCGACCCCGGCCTTGTTGGCGACGGCGTCGAGGCCGTGCTTCTCGATGGTCTTGAGGGCCTTGGTGGAGAGCCTGAGCTTGACGTAGCGCTTGCCGGCCTCCCACCACAGCTTCTTGTACTGCAGGTTGACAAACTGCTGCTTCTTGGTCTTGTGGTTGGAGAAGGACACCTTGTTGGCCCGGTTCGTCTTCTTCTCCAAGAAGGGGCAGATCCGGCCTGAAGAACCATGACACATCAGATTCACATTCATTCTTTTCTTTCTTTCTTTCTTTCTTACCTACTGAATTCATTCAACTGATTGATAGATAGATAGATACTCTTTTTGGGAAGATAATAATGCATGTTCATCCACTACCTATGCTATGTAATGTATGTATCTCTTTTCAAGCCTGAACTCAACTCTGAAGAAAAGCAGAGCAATGCAACTTAGACTTGGCAGGGGAACAAAGGGAGGGAGGGAGGGGAAGGGAGGGACGTACGCGCGACGATGGTGTTCTTGGTGGGGAGGGAGACCGCGGCCGTGGAGGTGAGGCCGAGGCTGAGGCCGGCGAGCTGCGAGGTGGCGAACCCGAGGGAGTTGGACCGGAGGAGCGGAGCCCTGGCGGCGGCGGGCATGGAGACGGAGTAGGAGCACAGCATGGACGCCATGGATGGATGGATGGATGCCAAACTAGACTCACTCACAGACTCAGGATAAGACGGACGGAAGAGGAGGAGGAGGAGGATAATAACTAACTACTAGAAACATGGCGGGCCGGCCCAATCCCACTTGTGAATTCGAGTTCTTAAAAAAAACAAACAAGACCAACCAGCTTTGGGCCGGTCGTTCCAGTGTTTTGGGCCAGTTTGTTTTCCATCACGGGCTCGGGTTCAAGTGTTTGCGGCGATGGGATCAAGGACCAACGAGGGACATGACGACCGTCCAATGTCAACACAACCTCTCGTTGGCACAATCGATTCTTTAAAGACTTGATTTTTTTTCCTTCTCAAATACTCATCGGAATGCAGAAACTCGTGAAGGAGAAAGAATTTGGCCTCGTCAATCATCCTTTGCCAACATCCTTTGCCAACAACTATGAGAAAACACCAACAACATCATACCTCAGTCTCTTTTTTCATGCGGAGTTGCAAACACATCATGAGAAAACACCAACAACTATTAATATGCCATTCGGATGCACACACAAAAGAATACACCGAACATCATACATCGGTTGGTTTTTAGAACTTGGTAGGAAATATTAGATGTAAACATCATCTAACTATGTAAACTAGCAGAATGCCCGTGCGTTGCTACGGGCTACAATGCATGTATTTGAGTGACTCGACAATAATTGTCACGTAAACCTTATCTCTCCACTCTTCCCCTCTCTATATAGCTCCGTCTCGCCCTATCCCCACTCATCCTTCATCCCACTATCTCTTGCTCCTTGTAGCCGTCAGAGCAGACGAACATGCATGTATTTGAGTGACTCGACAACAATTATCATGTAAACCTTATATCTGTCCACTAAGAATAGTAGCCACTAAAAAATTAGGTAAGAAACATTCAAGTACATACCGAGAAGTATCAATGAACCTAGCAGAAGACATGCAACCTTCAACCATGATAAAGGAACACCATTCACTGACACTGCATTTGATAGTATAAATCATTGGTAATAGCTAGGTCCTACCATAAGCGATCTGCTGTCAACTGTCTTGCACGGTTATAAAGTCAAATGGCGATGGACAAACCTACACCCGTGAGAGCACCTTGCATGAGTTGCTACAGGCCTTTTAAATAATTTTTTTCTGATTGCACATATATACTTAAAATTTCGTTAATTTTTTGCCCCTTTCATCATTATTGTCCCTTGTCGATGGTTTCTTTTTGAACGTCAACATAATTCATATCCATCTCTCTCATAACCTGCAAAATTAAACATATATAGAAATACACCTTTTATATTGTCATGTGCAACATCTCTCAAAAAAGAACAATTATTTGTGTATGCATTTCTTCCAATTCTGTAAAATCATGTTTTTAGGCCAGCCCATCATAGTTACGCAATGACTTTGCCAATCAGCATTTTCAAAGCATAATTAGAAGCTACCACTTTTTATCTCTGATATATAAAGGTGAACATATAAACATATATTAAAATAATAAAAAAACTCATATACAATCTATATTCATATAAGCAGGTGACCATTTTTAGTCACAGTGAGTCGCATTGTGCTTTTTAGTAGAGTGAGTCACATCAAAATTTTAATAACATGTGTGCTTCCTGTAATTTATTTGTTGATAATTATTCTCCAGAAATGACTCGTTAGGGTTTGTGATATTTTTAACTATATAAAAAAAATGAGACATGCCTCTTGTAGCAAGCAATCGCTTTTCGCTACAAAAACAAGCAGCCACTCCTATTTTTATCTTAAAAAAATCAATATGCCCTCTTATTCTCTAATAGCACGACATATCGCTCACACTCACATCTCCTTCCCCCCGGACTGTTCTGCCCACAACGGCCTCTCACTGTCCTCCCCTCAACGGCACATCATTTAGCCTGCACGGAGTCACCCGCCCCTCCTCTCCCCTCGACGGCATCCCAGGCCAATTCCCACTGCCAAGGGTTGCACGCAATCATAGCCGAGGGTGACCACCACAACGACACAACCTGTTCACCACAACGCCGCACCTTCTCCGAGTCCAGCGCCCACAACCAAGTCCTGAGCTCATCTGTCCATCCTTTTATCTAGTGGACTTAAATATTTCAATGGTTCAACATGTGTCGTGTCCTTGCAGATCCTCATACAAATCAACCGGTATTGCCGAACATTTTTACAACACTATATCCGCCTCCACTACTACTACCACAGTGGATCCGTTGCTATAGAATAAATTAATACAATCATTTGTATGCATGTGCAACATCTCTCAAAAAAGAACAATTATTTGTATGCATTTCTTCTAATTCTGTGAAATCATGCTTTTAGGCCAGCCCATCATAGTTACATCAATGACTTTGCCAATCAGCATTTTCAAAGCACAATCATAAGCTACCAGTTTTTGTCTTTGATATATAAAGGTGAACATATAAACATATATTAAAATAAG